CTTGAAAGCCACCACCACAACAACAATATCAACTTTATTTTAAAAGATCACACAAAAATATATGAGCTCATTAATTGGGAGGATTAGTTGTTAGTAAAAGGGCACTTCAGTATAAAAACTTTAAACAGCCTATAAAATGTGACGGTGGGGGTAGTATCATGGTTTGGAATGATTCGCTTCATCTCATTCGTGCAGATTTTAGCTCGCGCTCAAATCAAACTTTATTTATAAAGTGTACAACAGATCACACAGGTTCAAGTTTGTCTTTTCCTCCCTAAAAGATACGATTTAATCATTTCTGTCAGTCAGTGAATGAACAAACGGACAAGCGTCTCGTTTATTAGCAGTAAAACTGCAACATGGCCATAATTCATGTCAGACAGATACTGATTAAAACAGATTAGCTTTTTGTGTTTTTATCCCATAGTGAAGAGTGTCGCACGGAAAAAAGTCTCTTTTTTTCCTTCTGAAGTTAAGATGTTCTTTATTTTTCACATAGCCGGGACTGAAGATTACCATCTCAGCTAAATGAGTTTAAAAATGAATTAAAAGTGCCTAAAATCAGCGTAAACCTGATGTTTTAGAGCAGTGAACTGTGTCCATGATGGTGGACGTTATAAATGTTCCTTGTTCTGTTCAGGGGGAGGAGCGGGGGAGGGCTGCCATGAAACATCTGTCAGGCAGGTGAGGCCACACCTGCAGGGTTCCTTTCATTTTTGAGCTAAAAGCTTCTAAATGGACTGAATCATTATTTAAATGTTAATTTTTTTAATATATATACACGCTTTATTTTTCTGATTATAAGGCGCATTAAGCGAAACTAAAACATTTTGACAGATTTTTCAGCGCCGTGCACCACATAAAATCAGTTCGAGGTCACAACCAGAATTTATACATAAGGCGCACCGGATTATAAGGCTCACAGATTATGTTGGAGATTTTAAGGTTTTTAAGTGCGCCTTATAGTCCGAAAAATACGGTAATTCTTGTCGGTGAGTTTGTGTTTATGTGGCACGGTTAATGAACACCAGCGTTAACGTGTCGTTAACTGTCGAGCACGGTGGTGGAATGGTAATAGTTTGGGCCTCTGGATAAACAAAACTAAACTGTCTGTATTTAGAGGAAGTAGCCCGGATAGTTTTATGTTTTAATCTCCCGACATGTGAAAACTTACAGCTCAAAGTGCTGAAACTCTTGAGTCTCTCCCACAGCCTCCTCAGCGTGCACCGCCTCTCTCAGTTTCACCTCCCTCACTTCCTCCCTCCTCCGTCTCGCGGACAGTGAAAGCACCACTAACGGCTCGCGGCTGGAGCGCGGAGGTCCTCGAGCTGTGAGAAAGGAGGAACGTGAACCTCCACCCACAGAAGGAGCTCGAAACATCACAGGAACACTTTATTTCTTTATTTTTGATGTTCTGGCTCCATTTATTTGAACTTGGAGAACATTTGAAAGGAAGCATGAGAGGTGAGTATAAAACTAAAACTTTTCTGGGAGTGAATGTGTTTTTATGTTCTCATGACCGTCAGTCAGTCTGACCTCTGACCTGTGGCTTCTGCCAGAGCTGCTGCTTTTATTTTAGCACTTTGCTGCAACGTCTGATATCTGCTTACAGGGTGAACTGTCTGCTGCTCTGAGAAAGTCAGGAGGAGATTTCTGTGCAGGTTTCAAATGCCGACTAGTCTGCTCATGAAAATCTGACCAGATGCTCTCAGTGTTCCATAAACACAGCCTTCAGCTGGGTGGGAAACTTGGAGCACCAGATTGGGCATTTTTCCCCTCTACATGGCCAAGTTTAGACACCATGACCCAGAAGCACTACCTGAACACTGCTGCGGATGATTTTACACACCCCCAGTTAGCTCTGGCACCAAAAGTTGTGCCTCTATGAGCTGAAATCAACTTCTCTGAGCATTACTTGAAAGAATGCACGTCACCCGCTGCATTTCAAGACCAAGATCATTTAATGAGAAATAAGTTATTTTTATCTAACCCTAAAAATACTATTGTGGACAATCTCATGCAAGTTGTCGCACAATTTTAGCTCAATAGCTGTAAAACTGACTGCGTTATAGCCATTTTAGTGCTGGTTAATGTTGATTAGCTGTGGCAGCCTTGTTGAATTGGGTTGACTCTAAAAGTTAATCAGTTATAAATGTGCATATATCGATTCCTTTCTGAGAGTTTCATTAAAATCTATCCAGTGGTTCACGAGATATTTTGCTAACAGACAAAAAGGGTTTACTCCAACAATTAAGCCTAATTTTTTTTAAAGCAAAACTACAGCAATGAGCAGCACTTAGATTATGTGTTATAAATTAATCTAAGCTACTAGCACACCAAGATTCAGTGCAATATCTGTAAAATTGACTGAACTAAAGCCATTTATGTGTTTTCTGTGTTCAGTTAGCTGTGGCGGACATCTTAAATTGGATTGACCCAAAAATGTTTTCATTTGTAAAGGTACTTCCAGTAATTCTCCCCTGAAAGTTTCATGAAAATCTGTTTAGTAGTTTCCGAGATATTTTGCTAACAGACAGACAAAAGTCGACTCCAAACTGTTCAAAATTTTGCCTTTAACTTTATTATTGTGTGACCCGTTAGTGCTCAGAATATGTGTTGGGGACCTGTCTCAGCTACTACCACACTAAACTTTAGGTCAAAATCTGCAGAATTGATAGTTATTTGTTGCTTTTTTTTTTATCAAGTTGTGGCAGCCATCTTGAATCAAGTTGACTCCAAAAGTTAATGAATTATAGCGGTGCGTTCACTGATTAAAATCCAACACGCACAGATACACAAGCTAAAACCCAACTGTTTCACCTTTTAGCTGCCGGTGATCTAATCATGTCTCCTCAAGCTAAGTGTCACATATGTTCCCTCTGACCAGACGGCTCCAGCTGCTGTAATTTACAGTTTGTAATTTACAGTTTGTAATTTGCAGCGCGACACACGTTTTTACACCACATGATGGTTATCCGGACAAACACAGCTCAGGTTTGCTGTAAACACACCGATCAGCCTGATGCCAGCCTCAGTGGACCTGTGACGCCCACAACACAAGGGCCCAAAGGCATGAGAGTACAGAGCTTTGCATGCAATGCAACCCACAAAACTAAAACCACACCTGAAACTGACACGCACACAGTGGGGGCTTTGAGGAAAAGCAGCCGAACTGCACGCTGTTGTAGGTTTCCACAAAGGCCCCTGTCTGCCTCGTTTGATTTGTCGGAAACGTGTGCCATTCTATCTGCGCGTCTGCTCAGGGATGAACGGGGGCATCTGAGTTTGTGGACGGATCAGATGTCCGTCTCAACTGCTCTCCTGTAATTTGATTAGAACGCCGAGCCTCGTTAGACACACGGGAGTCTCCGTGACGCTCAGGAAGTCGACTGCACCTTCACAACACCTGGCTTCATTTATTCGCGTGATCTTTATAAACTTTTAGTTTTTTATTTTTCTCAGTTGGGGCGCCTTTGATGGCAAATCAAAGACAAAAAGCAACACAATGGCTTCATCTTGTCTGATGCTCATGAATAGTTCATGCTGCTAAAAAAAAAAAAAAAAACAGCTTAAACTGTCACACTGTTTGTTTTCCTGTTGCTTCCCAACAGGTTTTTAAAGTGCTACTATTTCAGCTTATATTGTCAGCTGTTTTAACTAATCGCGTATCAAAATGTTCAGCTCGTTTAGGACATTCCCGCTAAATGATTTTAAGTTTTTATAACTTTGAAACTGTGCAAAATATTAAACTTTACGTCCAGTTTACTTCCTCATTGAAATAAATGGAGAACACATCCTTCAGTTGTTCTTTGAAAACTATTTTATCACACTAACTTCATTTTTAGCTTTTAGCTTCTGTTCTGCTAAATTTAGCTTTTAGCAGTTGTGTTGCTGTTCTTAGCAGTTAGCTACTGTATTGATCATTTTAGCATTTGGCTTTTGGTTTGCTAATTTTTGCTTTTATCTACTTTTTTTGTTAATTTAAGCTTTTTCTTAGATTTTTGCTTATTATAACATTTAGTCACCTTTCTGCTAAATTTAGCTTTTAGCAGTTTTTTTGCTGGTCTTAGCAGTTAGCTACTGTTTTGATCATTTTAGCATTAGCTTTTGGTTTACTAATTGAGCTTTTATCTACTTTTTTCTGTTAAGTTTTTTCTTATTTTACTAATTATAACATTTAATTACCGTTCTGCTAAATTTAGCTTTTAGCAGTTGTTTTGCTAGTCTTAGCAGTTAGCTACTCTTTTGATAATTTCATTATTTAGCTTTTGTTTTGCTAATTGAGATTTTATCAGTTTTTTGTTGTTGTTAATTTAAGCTTTTTCTTATTGTTTTGCTAATTATTTAGTTACCTATCTACTAAATTTAGCTATTAGCAGTTGTTTTGCTAGTCTTAGCAGTTAGCTATTGTTTAGATAATTGTAGCATTTAGCTTTTGGTTTGCTAGTTTTAGTTTTTATCTGCTTTTTTTTGTTAATTTTACATTTTTAGGTACTGTTTTGATAATTTTAACAAAGTTTTTTTATTTGAAAATTTTAGCTTTTTGGTCCTATTTTATTAGTTTTACATTTTAGCTACTAATTTGTTAAGGTTTTAGCAATTATAATGCACATTTTAGCTATAGGTTATGTTTTCCTAATTTTAGCTTTTAATTACTATTTTGCTAATTTTAGCTTTTATCTATTAGTTTGTTTATTTTAACATTAGTTTTTTTTTGTTTCAGCTTGAAACAAAATGGTAGCTAGAAGCTAAAATTAGCAAAATGCTAGCTAAAAAGAAGAAATAGTTGTTTTTTTAACTTTAATAAAGTTATTCTTCGCTTAGTGTTGACACAGCAGTGTTCCAGAAAGCGCAGCTGCTCTTGTCATTTATTTTATTTAAGATGAGTGAGTTGTGAAATTATTATTTTTTTTGTAAACTTTGCTCGATTTCTTTTCTTTTAGATCCAGCTTCATTGGTTGAAGTTGCAGAGTGGTTGTTAGCAATCTGTCAAGGCTAACATGGAACGAGAGGGTTCATTCAGGAGGTAACACACACACACACACACAGCCACACACACACACACACACACACACACACACACACACACACACACACACACACACACACACACACACACACACACACACACAGGTTTGTTTTGCTATCTTTGTGGGGCCTTTGCATTGACTTCCATTCATTTTTCATTCATTTCTATAGCCTAACCATGACCTTTATCCATAACCTAACCATTACCAGTACATACCTAACCCTAAACCTAACACATCCTCAATTCACACCTTAGTCCTAAACCTAGCCCCTAACCCAACTCAACGGGACTTCTTCTTATGGGGCCCGGGCTTTGGGCCCCATAAGGAGCAGTTGGTCCTCACAATGTAGTATAAGTTGGAAAAATGGGCCTCACAAAGTAGCATAAACAAGGACACCCACACACACACACACACACACACAGCCAACAGGTCAGTGCACAGCGCTTCACTTCAGCTGCAGTTCTTGGTCTCTCCTTCTCTCTCATGTCCTTTCTGACACACAAAGCTGGATCAAACTGAAACGCACACACATTCCTGCATGACATCATTCATGCTTTCACTTGTCCTCCTTTGTTTAGTCATTAGACTGCAGGCTTCCTGTTCAGAGGGGGCCAAAAACCTAAAGCTTTCACTTCCTGGTTACATGGAATCCCTTTCAGCTTTATGTAGACGTAGAAAAAGAGACATTGGTGGAAGCGCTGTGCGTCTTTAGTCAGTTTTATCCTCTGAACCATTCGCTCATCATCATGTGAGAACAGCTCCGAGCTCCTTCTCCAAGAGAATTTGGAAACTGGTTTTGATGTAAACTGTGTGAGTGTGTGAGCAGGGCTCTTGTTTCTCACACTGACCTACTTATGCAGAGCTGAGCTGAGATCCAAGCTGATAAATGATCAACGCACCTTCTGTCTTCATCTTCTATTTTTATAGCCCTCTGCCAAAAGGCAAAGGAGGGCGATAATGTTTTTGCTCGTGTTGGCAAATCTGCGGTACATCTACAACAGATTGACTTTTAGATAATGAAAAAAACTAATGAAACTAGCCTTGACAAAAAGATGGTACCCCTAGAGAAGATTGAAGCTCATTGGACCACGAGGCCATGTTAACCAAAGTGTCTCGTAATCAGCGTCATTGAAACCGTTCAGTCTGCCTATTTAAACTGGAAGTAGTCACAGTGCTGTTTTGTACCATGGTGTGTACCACACTGACCTGAAGGCTATTATTGACAAAGCATGTTCAAAGTGAAGGCTACAAGATGGGTGGATAATATAAAATGGTTTACAAAGAGCCCAGAACAAGTTCCATAGAGTTTAAAGGAGAACATCAAGGTTACCATCTGTGAGCTAAAGTGGATTTAATGGACGACGACTGCGGAGGACCCAAAATCATAAAAAAAATAATTAAAAGCCAGGCAGGAATTGAACCAAAATGCATAGCGATACGCCACAAATCTTCTGGGAGAACGTCTTTTTGGACAGATGAGACAAAACTGTAGCTTTTTTGGCAACATCAGCGTCTTGCAGGAGTCTCAAGACTATCGAGGCATTCTGGCAGGAAATCTGCTCTCAGTGTCAGAAAGCTTGATCTCGGTCAAAGATTGTGGGTCCTCCAAATGGATAGAACAAAACATGAGACTATTCAAAATAGTGATCTAATCCTATACCGAACATTTATAGGAGCTGAAACACGCAGTCTTTTAAAAATCCCTTCAGTCTGATTTCTGTGTTTCTTCTATCATCACCAAAGCTGAACGAGGATCGGTAAACTGGACGAACAGGATGTGACAGCTTGGATCCGTCTTCTGTCTCCTGGACACAGAGACACTCGACACCTTTAAACTCTTTCCTCTCGAGAGCCAAAAGGGTTCTTTTTGTTCGCCTGGCACAAAAGCACCTCGGTCACACGGTCGCCAACCAACACAGACTGTCAGGAGGGGGGCGAGAGACGTGGGCAGAGAACAGTGAAGCTGGGTGATCTTTAAAAAAGAGAGAAGAATGAAACAAAGCAGTGAGACTGAGGCGCTCCTTGCATGGAGATCAGTGCACGTGTGGGATATTTGATCTATTTACCGGAGTAAGGATTATTCGACTGGTTTGAAAGTTGTCACCCTGCTGGATTTCCAGGAGCCTGCAGAACAAGCTCCGTCTGGGCACCGGCTCGTCCTCCAGCCTGACCGACCTCTCGAAAAGCTCAGCAGGAGGAGGAGGAGGAGGGGAGAAGGGAGGAGCGGCTGGGGCGCTGTCTGAGGAGTCCTGCAGGGATAAAGGGACCCAGCAGAGGAGAGCTGGTGCCAACGCCACCTGGAACAGGTCAGCGCTCCACCTGTTAGCTCTCTTCATGTGTTGTAAACGACTCTCAGCTACTACCACAGCAGACTTTAGCTCAGAATCTCTTTAAACGACCGAGTTGTGTTTTCCGAGGCCCATTAGCTGCGGCGACCATGTTGATTTTTTTAGTTGTAAATCCAAACTTTTTGAGTTTCAGTACAAACCCAGTAGGATATGAAATATTTTGCTAACAGACAAACGCACATACACAGGAAAACCTGACTCAGAAAGGCAAAAGTTTGGGCAATAAAAAGTCGATTTTGACATTTCACACATTTTATGTCTGCTTCTCTCTGATTGTTTTTAAGGTTCAAGTCATTTGTAAATGCTTGTTTTGTGTTTTTTGGCAGCATCCACAACGCGGTGATCTCTGTTTTCCAACGGAAGGAGCTGGGAGAGAATGAACTTTACACTCTGAATGAAGGGGTCAGGTTAGATGCTTTGAGAGTTTTTTATGTTTAAGGTATATTTGACTATTTGTTTTCTTCTTGCATTTGTCTTTTGTTGTGGAATAAAACTTCTGTGCAGTGGAACATGTGCATTATTTGCTGTTCTTGAGAGGTTGTAAACAAAATCAATGCCAGGTTACATAACATGACAATTTCAAGTTCAAATTTTTTTTATTATCTCTGAGGAGCAATTAGTTTCACAGTCATTATCACACAAAACACCCATAGACAAGACATTGAGACATTAATATAACACGAGCTCATCATTGTTCGTTGAGAAGCCTGATCTGTTCGTCCTACATCTGGGCTGCAGATACCTGCGTCCAGATGGAAGCAACCTGAACTCACCATAGAGTGGATGATCAGGATCTGCCAGAATAACCCTGGCCTTGTTCATTGACCTCGCCTTGTGTAGTTCAGTGCGGTTCTGTAGGGCTATGCACATCCTGACAATTGTATTTGGTGCCTGAAGGCAGAGCAGCTGTCTGCACATTTACCCTCAGTGATACTTAGATGAAACCAAACATTTATCTGTGTTCTCATTTTATCAGCTGTTTTATGTTAATGTTTGCACGATGCTCCGATGAGCACAGCCGGCCTCATTTCCTGATCCTGCTGCTGTTTAAACACCACAGTTTGCACATGGAGTCTCTTTCCGTCTGGTTTGTCGCTTTTAGCACGGCATCAGCAGCGATGCGTGAGTCTCTTCGTGCTTTATTTACACCTGTGTGTGCATGTGTGTGCGCTCCAGGCAGCTGCTGAAGACCGAGCTGGGCTCTTTCTTCACCGAGTACCTTCAGAACCAGCTGCTCACCAAAGGCATGGTCATCCTGAGAGACAAGATCCACTTCTATGAAGGTACGCAGAATTCGTCATTGAAAAAATGTGTATTAAAGAAGAAATAAACAACCAGCGTTTAGTTTCAAATGACTTTTAAATGAGTCGATTTGAGTCTAAAGCTCTGGAATGCTAGGCGTTAGCGTTTCATCTTGTTTAGTCTCAGATACAGATCAGCAGAAGGGAAATAAAAATTAACTAAAATGAGTCAACCATTAGCTGTGGGATCACTGTTTTATCTGTCTTGGGTTCGGCTGAAGGACATTTTTCTGACACAAACAGATATTTAAAGTTTTCCTGTCTACTATTATGTGAAGCACTTGTAAATGACAAAATGTGCGCTCAAGCCCGTCTGCTGTCACAGAAACCAGACAGGAAGTGCTGCTTTACGTCAGCGTCACGTCGAGACTGTGAGAAATTTAGGAAGAGATAAACCGCAGAAACTCTCAGAGCTGTTATGACTATACAAAGTGTCATGTTAAGGTTAATGCTGGGATTCTCATCACAAGAAAATAAATAAAAAAGAGGCGTTTTAAAGATTTCTATCAGTGCACATCTGCACCACAGGTCAGAAGCTGCTGGACTCTCTGGCTGACACGTGGGACTTCTTCTTCTGCGATGTTCTGTCCATGCTGCAGGCCATCTTCTACCCCGTCCAGGCACGTGCTCCAATACGCACGGTCCTCTGCTGATGGCGGCTTCAGCGTTCTGACTCGTGTTTGTGCTCGCCTCCAGGGGAAGGAGCCGTCGGTGCGGCAGCTGGCTCTTCTCCACTTCAGGAACATCATCACCCTCAACCTGAAGCTAGACGAGGCGCTGTCCCGGCCCCGAGCCAGAGTCCCCCCCTCCATCATACAAATGCTGATGATACTACAGGTGCACACACACTTATTCAGTCTTTGTGTGTTTTCTGAATTTTGAAGCTTTGACAAGACAGAGTTTTTTTTCCCCTGAGGTCGGCCTGTTAGCTTAGCTCGTAGCTGAGCTTCTCAGCTTAGCTGCTTTTAACGATCCAAAAACACGATTTTGGATGGTTAAAATGGATTTTAAGGAGAAAAGAGAAAGGGAGGGGTCAGTGAAGAGCACCGGAGTTAAGCTTTTTGTCATCCAGTGTCTTCAGTAGAAAGAGAGAGACACGAAGAAACGATAAAGCCGATAAATGAAAATGAGGTAGATAATTTTCATTTATCATGCGATTAATTGATTTATTGTTTATTGTGACAGGCCTAACCTCAGTAGCTTCAAACTGGGACTCCAATATGCACATTAAGTTATCAAATGAAATCTTATTCCTTGTAAACATTTTAGGATCAAATCGTATTTTATGTATTCACAATATGCTTAAATCAATCGATGCAAGTCAGATTTCATGTTTCCACTGTCACATCTATCATAAAGATAACAGTAAGTTGCCTTGTATGTAGTTGTGCACACTTTATGATGCTGCAGAGAAATGATCTGTTGTTTCTCTGCTGCTAATTTTAAAAAGTACCGTATTTTTCAGACTATAAGGTGCACTTAAAATCCTTTAATTTTCTCAGAAATCAACAGTGAGCCTTATAATCAGGTGCACCTTATGTATTAATTCTGGTTGTGCTTACTGACCTCAAACTGATTTTCTGTGGTTATTGTGAATGAGTTGAATAAAGTTTGACTTATCTGAGTGTTTTGTTTCTCTTAATGCACCTTATAATCCAAAAAATACAGTAAAGATTTTTATTTTATGTTTGTATATTTATTCAGTTACATACTCTGACAACAGGAGTTAATATACAAGTACAGTTCTGCACCTTCTCTTTTGTACGTTTGAACAAACACCGACAACTTCAACAGGACCTTTTTTTTATTGGGGGGTATTCTGGAAATGCGTCTTATGAAGTAGAATTTGTATGGAAAGGTTATGAACAAATATCTTACCTGTTCTAGGTGGCTTTTTAAATCGTCTCAGTTTGGAAAATAAAGTTACATTTTACAAGGACTGTGTGGGGCCAAGACCAAAGAGGAGCCCCTTTCTGAAAACTCAGAGCTTTTTATGTGAATGTTTTTTAAAACTTTTTTTTTTTTTACAGTAATTAAGCATATATTTAGATATCCTGCAGGATTTGCCCCAGGCTGCATCAGAAATAAATAAACACATAATACTGTGTAAAAAGCTGTTCAATATGAAACTGGCAGAAATGTAATTTACATGGTGTGTAATTAATTTTTTATATTTGAGTTGTTTTAAGGTGACAGCAATCCACTTTGATCTTAGCCATGCCTATGACTGCAAATAAGCCCTCTCTTTCCCCAAACTGAGGTCATTCAAAGAGTTATCTGCAACAGGTAAGATATTAAGTGGTCAACCTTTCCACAGAAGCCCACTTCAAAAGATCTGAACTATCCCTTTAAGGTCAAAAGTTCCACCAAGACGGGCTTGTCTCTTTAAATTAGGACAGTTTCTGTAACTCACTGGGTGCTTTTTTAAAAAAAAGAACTGTATTGTTGAGAACAAAAATGAAAGTCTTATTTCTGCGTGTGTAATTTCACCTGAAGAATGAACTTTCTCATGAACTGAACCAGTTAACGTGCTCACACGTGACTCCACGACATGTTCGAAGCATCACAGAAGATGGCAGACAGTGTTGCTTCCACACAAAACTATAGTGAAGTAGTGAACAACTTATTTATCAAGACATGTTTGAGTCTTGCTGAAGCTACGACAGCTCAGACAACGTGCTCACTTTGAACACAGATGATAAAGCTAAGCCATAAAACATAAAACATGAGCTGAAGTCATAAAGTAAAGCTGTTTTTAGTTGGTTTATGAACGCCTGCATGATATAGTTTTGAGGAAATTGAAAGGAAAGAAACATTTCAAAAAGCCAGAATATGACATTTTTCTCATTGGCTTCTTTTGAATAAGTAAATGACGTGTTTATTTTTAAAAATAGGACTTTAAACACTCCAAACACCAGTAAACCCCAGTTTTTATTGATTGCTGAATAGTAAACTAAATAAAGATGGAACATGGCCGTCAGGTGTTCATCGGTCAGGGAGAACAAGTTAATTTAGTTGTGAACGAGTGCGTTTTTAAAAGTCTTCAGTGTTTCTGTCTAATCTGTGAGCGTTTCTCCTTCTGTTGGTTCGTGGTGAATCATTGACCCAAATCTGCTCCTTCCAGACTCGGCCACAGAGGCCAAAGTCAACCAGACACAGAGAGCTGTGCTTTAAAAAGACACACAAACAGGAAGCGTTTAAACTTTATACTTGCTCTATTTCTGCTTGAGTTGGTTAAAACTACAGTTAGTGAGTTGTATGAAAAGAAAGGAGAAAGTAGGGCAGATAAAATACACCAAGCCCAGCACTGAATTAAAGCTGGGCTTTTTTTTTGTTGTTGCTACTTCTTGTTTGCATCTGCCAACAATTTCTCTTTTATTCTGTTAAAAGACTGTGACGCCAGTTCACTGAAGTCTGTTTTATTCATGTGGTTTAGTGCTGGGCTGTGGTTTGCACGCAGAGACGCCACGTTTTCAGCTTCTCTTAGATATTTCAGCGTGAAAGATTCTTTTTCTTTACAAACAGATGAATATAAACACGGTTGTTAGCAGCGTGTCTTTGCCATGTGTTGATCAAACCAGTTCCAAAAGGGTAAGATGACCTTATGGAGCCTGCTGAGCTGATTATTAGCGGTGTTTGTGTACTTCTCGCTGTGGTAGTTACGGTCTCGGGTTTCTGCCACTGTTGTTCTGCGGTTCTGGAGCTGAATGCGTCCGTTGAGAAGCAACGCTTTGTAGAGAGCAGGATTAATATGATACGATTTGTGCAGAGGTTTGTTGAGTCAGTCGTTTGGCAGAGGTCCAACTAACGGCAACTGCGATTATTTTATAAGATTTGTCGGCAACCAATGAGGTGGCGTGGAAGAAAAACTGCAATACTATCAGCCATGTGCTAATGATAGCAAGTTCACAATAACAGGACATTTTTGGGGACTGCCTAGTATAAGGCAGCCACCTTTTATTATAGTCACTTTTACCTATTACATGATACAACAACATGCCTTACTACTCGAGTGCCATCTAGTGGCTGAAAATGGTAGTGTTCAATTGTTTACGTCAGAATTAATGAAAACGGTCATATCTCAGACAAAAATTGGTTTATAAGTATGGGGGAAAAAATCCATAAATACATCGCTTCGGCCTATAAGTTGCAGGACATGGAAATTATGCAAAAAAATGCGATTTATAGGTCGAAAAATATGGTATCCACCTGATCTAAAAAGTAAAAATACTGCAAATCAGCCATTTTTAGAAATATTAAGCTGAAATTTGGTGTGGTAGTATCTGAGAACAATGCCCAATAAATAATAAAAAGGAAAAAAAAACTCCAAGATAGCCACCATAACTTAAAAGAAAAATGACTTTAACTTACTGATATTTTACAATTTTGAGCTGAAATTTGGTGCGACTATAGCTGAGTGTGAACCTGAACACACAGTACGATCAAATCAAAAATTTGAAATGGGCGCCACGTGGCAGTCCCTGTCAAAATTTCTCCAGGAACTTTCTAGATATGCGTTACTGCTGGGAGAAAAAGGTTTGACTTCAACTTCTCTGTGCCTTTCTTGTTGGACATTAGAGCTGGGTTTAGTGTAAGAACACGAGCTGCCAGAAAGTGACATCAGATTTATTGTTCCTGCTATGAAAGAGATGACAAGAGCAGATAAGAGGGTTTTGTATTCAGAGGTGGTTTCCAGCTGAGGCAGCTGCAGCACCTAAATGCAACACTGCTTCACATTCATTGTCAGGTCACATTTATTTATTTATTTCATGCTGCTGTGTTCATTCGCACTCATCTACTCACACAGACTCGTTGGTGCTGCTGATGTTCGGCATATTACTGTTTTTACACTATTAAGTGTTTATATTCTTAGTTTAGCATATTTCTTAGTTCATACCTTAGATCTTATTACTGTTTTTCTTTTACAGTTTATACTTTTGTTGGATGTAACTGGGACTACAATTTACACAATTTTGTTCCACCACATGTACCATGTGCAATGTGAATGACAATAAAGAACCTTGACATGCTGGTCTTCTATAGCAATAAGCAGGGGTGTCCAAACATTTTTGTAGGTGGGCCAGAACTGTCGGCTGAAAAAAAATCTGAATTTTAAGATTTTATTTTTTTTAAAGTGTGTTTTTTTTTCCTCCTCATTTTTAACAACTTGAATATTTTGGAGAAAGGTCAAAAGTTTATTTTAAATTATTGTAGATCCAGAACATTTGGAGCCTCATAAACATTAATCTTGTTCTTGTTTTTTTTTTTTCAAGAATTTAATTTATTAGGTGTGTTTGTTTTTTTTTTTTTTTTTTTGGGGGGGGCTTTTATTAGTTTTCTTGTGCTTTGAAAGTTAATTTTCATTTATTTTCAAAGGCAACAGCCTAAAATGAGTAACTTTTCTTTAAAAAAAGGGGGTGGAGCTTCAATCATCCTTTTGGACCGTAGACGGCCCAAATGGCTCATCAATGTTCTGGAAACTTGCTGGCAGTCGCTAAAACAGATTCATAGAAGGTTTGAAGGGACACTGATGAAGTTGATCAACTTGTATGTCGATGATACAACTTTATATTATTTAAAAAAATGTCAAATTTGTCCCCATCAATTATTAAATCAACTGAATCATTTTCTTTGAAAACACTTGTTAAATATAATCAAGTTTTATGAATTATTATACAAAAGTCTACTTTTTGGTAGAAGTCAGTGAAGATTTGTTGTAGCATAAAGGGATTAATTATTCCTAAATTTTTGCATTACAATAATATTGCTCATTTTGAGATTATTTTCATATTTTTTTGCTGTTAAACCTAAAAATTATATTTAAAAAGTTTCACCATAAATCTAAAGGTCTACATGTGTAGCTCTTAAGCCTGTGGGTCAAAATTATACCATTCTTTAATTGCAGCTGTGGGCCACACAAAATCACTCCTCGGGCCGCAAATGGCCCTCGGGCCGCACTTTGGACACCCCTGCACTAAAGAGTGTTGGATGTGATCTCTGACCAGCATGCATTGCAGCACGAGCATCATCAGTCGCATGCAGAAACACTTTAAATAAAACGCACCTTTAAAATAAGCAGCTGCTTCAAACTCCTGCATCCGGTCTGAGCTGCAAGAATTCACCGTGAGGCGTTCAAGAAAAATCAACAAAACGAGATTTTAGACGAAAAGGAGGCAGATCTGTTTGCTATATATTATTAAACATATGATCTTAGTTTAAAACTGCCATGAAAGCAGCAGGTGATGTGCATTCCTTCAGTAACTTATAGGCCTTTATTTACTTTATGAATCTAAAACTGACCAAATTCAGAATGTGTTCATGTTTTTTTAAGTCCTCATGACTGCATGCCAACCAACAACATTTAGCAGCTAACACCACCTCATGTTTGTGTGTCGTTGATCCAGGGTGTCCATGAATCTAAAGGCGTAACCGATGACTACCATCGTCTGGAGTCTCTCATCCAGAAGGTGGTCTCTCCGTACCTCGGGACTCATGGTTTATACTCCAGAGATGAATCCTCTGATCAGCACTGCTCATCCTGCCTGCTAGGTGTGTATGTTCGAGAGTGGATGTCCGTGTGCACAATGTGTTTTACTAAATATTAGGACGCCCTCACTTTTGGTAGAAAAGCGGCTGCAGCCCTCCTGGACCCCCAAACCAGGAAACGCTCCCAATGTTAAGAATCCTGTGGTCCGTTCTAAGAGCTACAACATTCCCATGCTGACCCCCGTCGTAGAGTTTGACTTAGACTCATCCTCAGGGAGCGCCACGAGCGTCAGACGTCACTCCGTCTGTGAGATGCCGTGCTGTTTGGAGGAGAGCAGCCCAAAGGCCAAATCTGCCTCCAGGACAAAGGACAACACTCGTGCGTCCAGCCTGGCCAGTTCCTCTCCGGCGTCCATGGGTTCTCCTGCACTAACAGGTAGATTCACCAGCACCTTCCAGTGTGTGTCCTCTACAAAACCAACAGAGCTTAAGGTTAAACAGACCTTTTTATTCATGTAGGAATGAGAAGATGAGGCTTTTGTTAAAGTTTTTAACTGTTTTCTGTGCAGACACCTTAACGTCCAGCCAGGACCAGCAGTCCAGATGTTCTGGATCACCCCTCCCTTTCCAAGCCCAACACCCGTCCCCCTGCATCCTCCCCGAGTGTTCCCCGAGCGAGGACGCTCCGTGCGCTGGCTCGCCCGAGTTCCACTCCCCGTCTTCGCCCAAAGCTCTGCTTCAAGACACGAGCTCCGGTCCCAGCCCGGGGTCCAGCTTCGAGATCATGATGATAGACCGCACCACGGGGTCTTTGGACTCAGAGCAGGAACCTGACGGCATCTTCCTGGACTTTTCATACCGCTGCTCTGGAAACTCCACACACAGCAGGGACAACAACAGGCAGAGCGTCACCTGACCTGTAAAGACATGAATATTCCTCGTGTGACCTCTTCTGCACTTTTCTGGAGACTCCAAATCATCAGGAGATTTTTCCAAACTGAATTATTTTTTCTACAAAATACTTGATGACTGAACAACAAATCACATCGAGCTCTTTCTGATTATTATTTCTCTGCAGTGAGATTTTGACTGGCTGTCTGTACACAGTTCTGAACAACCAGTGATGATCTTGTAGAGGCAGAAACCAGCTGACAAATGAGGATTCTCTATCAAGAATCCCTGCAAGATGTTGCAAAGCTACAGCGGTCAAACTTGAAACTTGAGATCTCAACATATATTTTTTTAATTATTTAAAAGTTTCACATGAATTTTGCAGTTTGCCTTCAAAAGGACTGGAATCTTGCCTCAATCTTCTTCAGTAGGAACAGAGTGCCTTCTGCTGCGCGTAACAGGACCTTATTCTGCCCACAAATGTGCCTGTTTTTAATTAGTAATAATAATAATAATAAATAAAACAATAGATCAGCTTCTGATCTGCCTCTAACAATAATATCCTAACATGTATGTTAATCAGTGACTTTGTTTGTACTTGAAGCCTGTTTAGTAAAACCCTTCTCTGATCTCAGCTGTTTTTCTTAAATTCTTCAGAGTATTCTTTAGAACAGCTGAGGTCCACGTTTAAAGACCCAGCTTTACGTTTCCAACATGACTTACTAAATAATCAAATGTTCTGTGAAATCAAACAGCCAGTTTTTGTATATTTTTTTTCTCAGATACCATCTACAAAGTGATTTTATGAGCAGCGAGGTACAAATTGTTCTTTTGAGCTTTGCCACCTGTTGTTCCTTCACCAGTTTCTACACCAATAATGTGACAGTGTTTTGGTTTTAGCGCCTTAATGAAGTGTGAACAAACTGCAGACACTGCCACCCTGTGTCATTCTATTCAGTGTGCAAAGTGCATTTACATCTTCTAAAACCATAAAACAGGAAAGGTGGGCGAGACAGGACAACTGTGCACAACGTCAAGCATTGAGGCTAAAACGGGAGCATTTAAAACCACCTCAACAGCAGCACTTAAGCTAGAAATGGCAGAAATACCATTAGATTAAAAAAGAACCCAACTGGCATTGACTTTTTTACAGGTAGGCCTATCAATGCATAAAATCAAGCACTGTGTGCATTGATAGCTACTTTCGGCATTCAAGGTCGGCATTCAAACTGTAGTGTTTTGGCCCTATACACCGGTTGTGTTAATTTTTGTTAATGTACAAACCCATTAGTTTGTATATAAGTAGGCATGAAAAAAGCATAAGGCAATGGAAGGCATGCCTAAAAGTAGGCATGATTATATAGCCACAAGCAAAATACTGACTTTGAGCATTAGTAAATGTAAAAAAAGGTCAATTAGGATCAGAGTCAGAGAGTCAGAGTCAGAGTTTCTTTATTGTCATTCGCACCTCATGTGGTACATGTGGTGGAGCGAAATTATGTACACGGGGTCCCAGTTACATCCAACAATAAAATGTATAAGAAAAACAGTAATAACATCTAAGATATGAACTAAGAAAAACATCAACTAAATATACACTAAGCACTCATAACATAAAACATTGAACATCAGCACAAACATGAACATGAGTCTGTTCATCAGTTTACGAGTCAATAACCCAAATCGTTCAACATTCTAAAATCATACTTAGTAGTGATGGTGAAATTTATATATCTAAGTAAATCATGGCATCGTGCTCCAGTCTGTTAAAAAACATTAAATGTGGAGTAATATTGAGGATTTGATCACTGTCCCATATTCATTCATTCATTCCAAGTAAATGATGTTCTCACTGTGTGCCTTTATATGAAAATAGTTACATTCCTGAGTTTGCTCCTCTATGTTGTTACATAAATACAATAACTTTAAATATGGTTTTGCAAAATTGGTAGAATGACTACAATATATTTCCAAATAATAAATTTAAATAATTTAGGAAATGCTTCTGTACATGAGGGCTAAAGCCAGGGAAGAGATTGTGAGGTGTTAGAGATAGTTGTATTTAAAGTAAAAAGTTAATTTCAGCAAAGTTGGGCTTCAGTTTGTTCCTCTTCTTTGTTCCCAGCTCTGTTAGGAGAAAAGTTCAACATGTGGCTTAATCTAGAAAAGACCAGTTTTCAAAGGAGTCGGGGAGCCAGTCAGACAGACCCCCACACTGCCCGCCAACAGAGCGCAGCACAGATGTGACGTAATGACGCGTCGTTCACGTGATTTTGGGTACTGGAAACATCTCGCGAGACTTCAGCTTCACGCGCTGGAGCTCGAGCTAATCGTTAATTGGTTCCACCTGTGAAGGAGGATGAGCAGGAGAGGAGTATTACAGCTAATAATGTAAGATATTAAGATTATTCCAGTGTGTGTTTGTTTTTTGTTTATTGTTTACAAACGGTGAAGTGGGTTCCAGAGATGTGACGTTTTTAAATTAACTTTTCTTAAGGAGTCTTGAGGACAAACATACGACAGAGCTTTAGGGTCACGCTAAGAAAAAACAAACAAAAAAAAACATTACAAACGAAAAAGTCTTACCGCTGCGGTAAAACAATGAATGATAAACTGAAGCTGTATGGAATTGCTGCATTGACGGATTTAGTTGTGACATAATGTGGATGGAGGCATATTTCACTAACGGTGACCCAAAATGTGATCGAACTACAGCAAGGCCCGCTGCTGCTGTACGTGTGTAGCGCCCGCCATGTTGAATGTGGCAGATCTGGCACTGTTCTACAAAGTGTTTGAAGTTAATGCCTGTCATTCACACATACACTAATATATTTGGAAAACAGAGACCAAAGACAACATTTGTAACTTTTAACATGATTATTAAAAAAATGGTTACTCCTTAAATATTTAGGTTATAGGTAACTAAGCATATACCAACATACATATTCTTTTGAGTGTTTACAACAATTAATGTAACAGCACTATTACTGTGGTGATAAATTTTAGAAATATTCATATTTAACATTTAATCTGTGTTTATAATGACCATATCCTAAAATGTAGATGTGACTTATGGATTTTCTGAATAACGTTCACATTTAACTGATTTTGATTAATATATGTATACACACAAATATATCTTAACAAGGGGTGTGGAGTATTGTATGCATGCATGCAGTCTGTGTGTGTATGTGTGCAAGTTATAAACTTTGGAAAAGAAAAGTCTTTTTCAGCTTTTTCCGTGTTGCCACTGTGAATGAACGAGGCGTCTTCTATCTATTGCTTCACTTTTGCCACATTCAAAATGGCAGCGACGTGGATGTATGATTCAGTGCTCGGTTAACGTTTTTCTTAGTTCATATCTTAGATCTTATTGTTTTTCTTTTACATTTTAATACTTTTGTTGGATGTAACTGGAACCCTGTGTACACTTTTGTTCCACCACATGTACTACGTGTGTGTGTATGACAAAGAACCTTGAATCCTTGAATCAATGAGGCGTCTACATGTATATGTCTATGGTCCACAGCAGGTGCAGTTGACCCAGAACGTAGTACAAGTTTATTCTTGTACGACTTAATTCCCGTAATATTTCAACTTTATTCTCGTAATTTTTTGACTTTTTTCTTATAATGTATTTTTTTTTTTTTTTTTTTAGCGTGGCCATAAAGCTCCATCGTACCAACGACATGCAGCTGATCACTGGGATTGTTCAGGTTTGTCTTTCTCTTCAAATTTAATTTTTGCTTCTTTTAAAAAAATATATTTTTCCTTTGTTGTCCTCATGAGAAGTTTGGTCCTCTAGATTAATTACTTGTAGAATATTTTGTGTTATGAAGAAGACAGAAGGGCTTACAAAATACTCTACAAATCTGATTAGGCAACATTTAATGTGAGCATGTTAAAAATAAATCTTAGTGTTTTCCAGTTAAATTGCTTTGAGTTATGCGTCGCAGTGACTTTAAAGTTAATTTTAAAAAAATCATCTGTTTACTTGCTGTCCTTTATGAAATGGTTAAAAACAAAATGTTAATGTCTTTATCGAATTGTAGAATTTATCTTTAAAGATTAATTTATTTAAAGTTCTAAATAACAGTTCTCTTCTGAAACCAATTTTTAGTAAAAATAATTGCTAAATAAAATGACAGTTTACAATTTATTATAAATCTATTTAGATCAGTCATCAAACAATGCTAAAAATAACTTGCAACTTATTTCAGGAAGATTTTTTTGAAATCTAAAAATTTTTTTTATATATTTTTTATCCAAGACCAAGTTCTCTAAAACATTTTTAAATAATTGTCACACATTTCTGCTTTTTAAACATTTAATTTAGAGCAAATCAGTCTTAATATTGCCCAATTTAGCTGTAACAGTGCAGACACTTTGCTATAAATGTGGTTTATAAAATATGCATCTAACAAATTAAAACGGTGTAATCATAGTTCATGTGAAGGAAACGCCTTCCAACCTGCTCAGATGAGGGATTTACTGCGTTAGGCTGAAATGTGTTCATCTGTAAAGTTGACATGTTTAGGAAAGAAAAATCTAGATTAAGCATTAAGCTACTTTTCAAAGGTTTGTACTGTGAGTGAGAATTCAATTCATAAATACTTTATTAATCCCAGAGGGAAATTAAATGTTGTTGTAACTCGTCATCCTGGTTTCATTAAAGAGTTGTTCTAGATGCTGATGGCTGTGGGCAGGAAGGATCTCTTGTAGTGGTTTGTCTTACAGCAGATCTGAAGAAGCCTCAGCCTGAAGACACTTTGTTGCATGACAGTCTGATGAAGAGGATGCTGACGGTTGTCTATAATGTTCTTCATCTTATGAAGAATCCTTCTTTGTACAGTCACCTCCAAAGGTTCTAAAGGAGTCCCTAGAACTGAGCCAGCCTTCTTTATGAGCTTGTTATCTTTTTCAAGTCACTTGCTCTGGTGCTGCTCCCCCAGCAGATGATGGCAGAAGAGATGGCGCTCTCTACAACAGACTTGTAGAAGATATGCAGCATCTTGCTGCAAACGT